TATAGTTATAGCAAGATACATATGTCACAAATAGCACTTAGGATATGGTACTTCGGGACCAAGAATTGTATATGCTTTAAGCAATTTAAATCCTGCAGGGATTGTCATATAAGTTAAATCATATAAGCCATATGAATGGACTTTAGATGCATATGAAGTTTTTATGTCATGATTAGGGGTGGCAAACGGGCGGTCGTGTCGGATATGAGCGGGTCAAAACGGGTAATTTAAAAAAACGGATAAATATCCGATCCGACCCGTATTTGAGACGGATAAAAACGGGTTATACGGCGGATAATATGGATATCCATATTATCCATGGCTTATCCTAGTCTTCCAAAATTAAGGAACTCCAATTTGAGGCTTTACAAATGTAAAAGTTAAACACATTAGTTATCCATTTGGTTAACCATTTTCTAAGTGGATAATATGGTTCTTTATCCATATTCGACCCATTTTTAAATGGTTCATTATCCAACCCATTTTTGATGGATAATATGGGTGGATAACTGTTCTCTTTTAACCATTTTGCCACCTCTAGTCATAATAGACATATAAGATAGATAAAGGTGATTGCACACACCATTGACTTTATGCTTTCAAGTGTTTGAACCGCAGGTCCAAAACTACATGTCTTTCATATGAAGCCAATTCTACTTGAATTGTTTCTCCATACTTAAGATCCTCATATATATTTAGCATTATCATAGATGTAGTCGATGAACATTTTATATCGGTTCCAACCTTCTTCCTTGTTTCCTCATAAATATATAACATAGAGATCTCTTCATTCATATTTTTAGGGACCTGAACCTCTTCTGAGACTTTATGAAGTGTTATGTCATGTGATCTTCTCAATCACTTGCCTCCTTATTATGATCATTATGATCATTTGCTCATAGATTTTTATTTGAAACCGATTTGTCTATATGCTTTAAGCGTACCATAAATTTTGTCCTTCTAGGACTTATTTTAATAGGAGCATTTGCATTGAGAATATAGTTACTTTCTTTGGGTCAGCAAATGTGTCTGTCATGCTTTGCAATATAGTGCAAATGAATTATCTTTTAATGAACTTCAAGTTCATATTGTTTTATTCGAGGATCCAGATATACAAATGATAATTCATTCCACATAACTTTTTCTCAACTGCTTATCATGTCTCCCCTTCATGTTAGAAAAACTAACTTGTTTCCTCAACTTTGAGAACCCATCTTTGTGTGTTATGGTGTTAATCAAAATATACACCGCATCAATAATAATAAGATGGAATTATTTGGTTCCTAACCCCGAACCATTTATGAGGTGAGAATGCAATATACTTTCGTATATAACGTATATCAAACTAATATAGACAACTTTGTTCTCATTAGCAACAATTTAGCTATTAAGTGAAGGCACTCAATAAATTATTTTGCTAAATCAACTGTGATTCAAACCAACTTATCAAGATGAACTGTCTTGAATAGAAGATCTGGAAATTATGCTCTAAACTAAATTATTGAGCAAGTTATCACGCAAACGCCAGGTTGTGGGTTAATAATAATCGCACATGTAATCATCTCATAGATGCATCTTTATAAGGTTTACAAGGCAGGTGAATGAGCCCATGTTCACCTTTGATATTCTAGTTCTTTAATATTTACCCATATGAACTCTCTTTTATTTTTGCACATCTTACTTAAATTGATATGGCTAAACTAGTTATGCCAACTGGATAAATTATCAATATTGATAAACTTCATGTTTACACCATGACGTGTGCAATTATCAATAAACTCCAAGTTTATTATGATATAGGTTTTTATATCAATAAACTTCTACTTTACTGTTGCATACTTTTATTTGTGTAGTACAAATTGGAGAATAAAGTAGGTAGCTTTTCACATACATATTACCCCGCTACAAGTTGTAGTAATAGAAGATATTAAATCTTTCCTTTCTTTATAGTCTCAGTATAACCAATCGCTTTCGCGAATACTTTAGAAACTAAATAAGTTTCTACAATATAATGCCTTGTTGATAATCAATTGTGTTCCTCCAAAATAGTAATAATTGGCTCTTCCAGAGCTCTCAATTAATTTTGTACTACCACATATTCATCAACCTCTATATGGTGAATATATCTTTCAAGGAGAAAGTTATACCATTATGGTCATGGTCAAAATCATTATAGGCAAGATATGTTGCTTCTATTACTTTTGCCCTGTAATAATTACATTGCCATAATATTTTGGATTAATCATAATAGGTACGTGATTAAAGACCATTCATGTCATAATAATGAAATTATTTCTTATTTCATCCCAAACCTCTTTCTAGAGGTTAGTGCGGTATATTCACTACCACTAACACGTTCAGATTCTTCCAAGAATGAATATGTATTCATAAATCATATGTTGTTACGTTCACATCATGAATGGACCATAGTCATCTATATGTGCTTTATGAAATCTCATGTCAAATCGATGAAAAACATTAATTTCACAGAGTGAAGTATTATTTTGAGAATTATGACAACTTTAATTTCGTCTATTTCCATGTTCACATTCATTGATACCTTCACTGTAATAATTTTGTCTTCTTTCAGACTTACCACATATTGCTATCACATTCTCTTAAGGGAATGAGAAAGAAGCAAATTCAAATGGGACGGGCTTCTGCTTCTTGTGCTCACAATCATACATGAATTTGATCATGGCAAGACATAGATATTTTACCAATTCGCGTGGTTACGAATTCTATTAAAGTTATAATCATAATTTATTGTCTTTGCTTGTATTTAAAATCGAATTATAGAATGTTAAGAATTTAAAAGAGAAAAATAAGGTAAAATACTTACCTTAAATCCAAAATTTATTCTTGAGGGAATTTCATGGACAATTGACAATCATTATGCTCAATATTATGTATAAGTTGAGCACCATGCACGTATCCCAAAGCCTCTACTCAATTGATGGGAGCCTCGTGCTGATAACGTGTTATAAAACAATAAAAGAAGAAGAAGAATAAGTAGACATAGAATTCTTATTGATTTGGGATGAATTACAATGGAATAAAATCTCTCTATTTAAAGGGAAAAAGTGACTTAACCACCAAGTAACCAGGGGCAGCTCAACAAGATTGGTGGCCTAAAGCTAATTTTTAATATGGGGCCTTTCAGAAGAAAAAAAAATAATTCATCTATATTTTTAATTGAAGTCTATTTTTCTAACTTTTTAAGATGTAAAGTTGTTAATAGTTTCTTTTTATAAATAATTTCATTTCTCCTAAGATATTATTGATCTAGATAATAGAACCGGATTCAAGAAGTTAATAACTTGATATCGAAATAATTTTTGATGTTCTAATATACTAGTTGGAACGCTTGAAACCTGAGGGGAAAAAAGGAAAAAAAGAATTGGAATATAGTTTTATTCAACGGTACTCTTCGACTCTTGTTTCTTTATAGAAAAAATAAAATTTTTTTCTTTCTACAACGAGCAATATAACTTTTAATTGGAGAAAGAGAATCACTCCCCCTAAACCCTTGTCACGAATATAAAACTTTTCATTATTTAAATTTTACAATTAACATAATTAGTGAAGTACCTATATTATTATTCTCCTTTTACATCTCACTAAAAACGTGTAATAAACTTTTAGAATCCGTTTTTTGTATCTTCAATCGCTACTAGAAATTCGGGCAAAACCGTCCAAAAAAACCGACCAAAGTTGATCGGTAATGGCCAATAACCGTCCAAAACGTGACCATTTAAGTGTGGACTTTGGTCGGTCAATTTAATTAAAAAAAATATTGTCGAAAAAACCGACCAAAGTTGGTCGGTATTTTAATTCTTTAATTAAAATACACCATCTATGATAAAAACGGGGTTTGTACTGTGGTAGGATACTATTCTACCACTAGACCATTGGTGCATTTTGTTTTAAGACTGTCTTCTATTTCATTTATACTCTTTAATTGTATTTTCGCACGAAAACAACCGACCAAAGTTGATCGATTTTATTAAAAAAATAAAATTACCGACCAAAGTTAGTCAGTTTTTAAAATGACCGGCCGAATTAACCGACCAATTTCGGTCGGTTTTTTTAATACTAATTTAATTTATTTTAAATGAAAAACCGATCAAAGTTGGTCGGTTTCTTGAAAAATAAATTTTGCGGGACTCAAAAATAGTTTCCCGCATTTTTGCGCCAATCGACCAAAGTTGGTCGGTTTCGTAAAAAAAAAATTAAAAAATAATATATTTTGAAAAACCGACCAACTTTGGTTGGTTTTTTGGCCGATTTTTTGACCGACCAAAATTGGTCGGTCGACCATGGTCGATTTTTGCCGAATTTTTAGTAGTGAATAGTCCAAGTCTTATTTTTTATCTTTACCTTTTATAAAATATTTTACTTTTATATTTTAGAATACCTAATATATTTAGACCTTACCTCTAAAGATTGCTGTGAGATTTATATGATCCAACTTACCTTAATTAGATATATTGGGTTCGAGTCCTGTGGTTAAACAAATCTTGTTAAAATGTGTTCTTTCTTTTACTAGGCCTTACACGGTACGAATCTATATTAGTCGAAATTTCAATACAAATACGAGTAGAAAACAAAAAGAAAAATTTGGGGCCCCAGAATTTGGGGGCCTAAAGCCTTTGCTTTAGTGGTTTGACCCTTGGGCCGCCCCTGCAAGTAACAAACCCTAAAATCTCTCTAAAAGTAGAAATTCACCATAAATAAAATATTATTTATAACAAAATTGATTTTTTTGTTTTTATATAAGTAAATTTTTGTGAAACAAAAAAAGTTTGACCACCTATATATCGGATTGCGTTCATGGTGTTGAAATAGAATTAAGAAATTCTCAGTGTAAGGCTGGCTAATGGATAATAAGTTGATTAATAGTGTAAAATACAAATTTAAACCAAGAATATATATGGATTTAACATAAGATATAAAGTGTGTGCATGATAGATCTCACATGAAATGAAAAAAATGGGAGAAGACATGTGTCAGCAAGTCCAACAGCCTCGTACTCGATCGCTTTCCTTTTTCAGATCACCTTACTCAGGCAGGCTTTCCATTTCCCATCTCAATGGCATTTAATTCCAAAGTTTAATAATACAAAATAGTTCTACATATTAGGTAATTCTTCATTCTGATTCTGTTTCCTTTTCTTTTCCCAACACTATTGATCAAAATTTCTTCTTAAAGTTTTTCATGTGGTGACGGTAAGTGATTCAATCAATCTTGATTCCCCGTAATGATAATGTACAGTGGTTTTTTTTCCTTCTGTGTATTATGCATGGATCAGATATGATTATCTGATTAAGTCTTACGTATTAAGATGTGTATCATGACTTTCAACATTCAGATTATTACCCCAGCAAAATGTAATCGCACAAGTATTAGCCTTTAGCCAAATAAACCAAGTTTATATATGTTCCCTTATACTGTTAGGTGTTGTCTTGATTTTCTTATTATATTTGGTTATCCTATCTCTCGAAGAAAAAGACAACATATTTACGATAATTGGGTTTTCCTATTCTTAGAAGGAAACATAAATCTCTCATATTTGGCTTGTCACATTTCTTGGAGGAAAATGTTTTGGACTTCTATAAATTGGGGATCTTTCCTTGTCATTTAGTAGCCTCCACAATGTAGTGCTTAAGGGGGTTGAGAGTCTTTTTTAGTGGGAGAATTTCAGGACAAGTGTTAGCCTGTCACTTGTGTTTGCTTTTTCGTGATGTCGTTCTCTCGATATGTTGCACGCTATTTTATATAGTGGATTGCTCATCTCCGCCCGTGGGCGTAGGTCAATTGTGTGTTTCTTTTGGTATATTTTTCTCTGATTTATTGTCGTTCAAATGTTGTTTTACTAGCTTCTGCATGATACCTAATTATTTCGATCCTAACATATACAGTATTGCGGGTAACTATTATTTGCAGAAGCACTAACCTTTCGTGTTAAGTGTCGTCCTCACCACGATTATAACAAGCTGGTACAAGTATAATGTAAAAAAGAATTCATTTTGTCACGTCGACTTACCATAGCTAACTGCATTGGAGTTGGGAGTAAAGCTTAGCATTTATATGTTAAATAAAATGTGCGTTTCCTTTATTTCAATGTAGAAATAATGTTGATATACATTCAGTTCTAAAATGTTCTATACTCGGTCGTATTAAAAGTACATAGTGGTCAATCTGCTATCTAACTCATTGAACGTCCGTCTTGTTTGCTTGTAAGCTATGTCGTCTCCAGAGAATACAAAAAGGGCTTTCCGCAACAAAGATAAGGAGGATAAACAAGATGAAGAAAAGGGTGGATTTGTTGAGAAAGTTAAGGACTTGATCGAAGATGTTGGTGAGAAAATTGAGGAAAAAATAGGATTTTGGAAACCAACTGCAGATGTCACTGCAGTTCACATTCCTCATATCAATCTTAAAAAGGCTGAATTAGTAGCTCATGTGTTAGTGAAGAATCCAAACCCCATTCCAATCCCTCTCATTGACATAAATTACTTGATCGAGAGTGATGGAAGGAAACTGATTTCTGGATTGATCCCTGATGCTGGAACAATCCATTCACATGGTTCTGAAACTGTCAAAATACCCGTTAATTTGATTTATGATGACATAAAAAGCACGTATCGTGATATAAAGCCCGGAAGCATCATTCCCTATAGGATCAAGGTAGACCTCATAGTTGATGTACCTGTTTTTGGCAGGCTGACTCTGCCTCTTGAGAAAACTGGCGAGATTCCTGTACCTTACAAGCCGGATATTGATCTTGAGAAAATCCATTTTGAGAAATTCTCTTTCGAAGAAACTGTTGCTGTTCTTAAACTGAAGTTAGAAAACAAGAATGACTTTGACCTGGCGATTAATGGACTTGATTATGATGTTTGGCTATCGGATGTCAATATTGGTGGTGCAGAGCTTGAGAAATATACTAAAATTGGAAAAAATGGTATTAGCTACATGGATCTTCCTATTACCTTCAGGCCAAAGGACTTTGGGTCTGCTCTTTGGGACATGATGAGAGGAAGAGGTACTGGCTACAGTATGAAAGGTCATGTTAATGTGGACACGCCATTTGGAGCAATGAAGTTACCTATCAGCAAGGAGGGCGGGACAACTCGTCTCAAGAAGAACAAAGAAGATAGTGGAGATGAAGATGAGGTTTGTTAAATGTTCAGCTTTTACAAAACTTTGTGTTGCTTGCTTCATTTTTCGTCGAATATTTTTGTTTTACTTAATTCTTAAGAGGTTTAAAATGGGATTCATATGCATTCTGAGCTTTGTTGGTCTATTTAATTACATGTATAATATAATTTGTACTCTGACTGGGTATAGATACAATATGTTGGAAGAAATTAAACATGAATAGAAAATGTCTTCGGATATATACATGTGAAAGAAGGATGTCATCTACGTATATTCTTTCAAGAGAGACATGCAAAATTGTTGTAGTTGAGTGAATTGTTTGTAACATGTAAGTACATTATTGACCTAGATCATGTTTTCTTCTTTAGAGAAACGAGATAACATATCTTCTGGAAGGGTGATTAAAAGTCAAATATGTACTTAAATATCGGATGATTCTCTACATGATATATAACTAGTACCTCCAATATCCTCTTACTTGGTGCAATTGTGGCTTCAAGTAAGCTAGCATGTCATTAAGCATGTAGATCATCAGTTGTATAGTCATGACCGACCTTAGATATGCTCCTTTCGCGTGGTGATTATTAAAAAAAAATGTTTAAATCACTTGTGGCTCATACCTTGCATGCAGTTTAAGCTAACTTTTAACCAAAACGGCTTAAAAATATTGTTGGGAAAATTAAGGAGATGAGTGATAAGAAAGAAGGTATACATGTTAAAAGCGATACATGATGTCTCCAAAAGGATAAAAATGAATCTGCTGAATGTGTGATGTCTCTATATATGAGCAAATTGTATATTAAAGATGCACAAGATCCTTAATGTTCTTCTTAATTATTATAGCAGAATCCATTGCTATCTTTCTAAAAGTAGTGTGTTTCACAATTAATGTTACATCAATTCACTGATCTATGCGGGGCTCATGCATATTGTTTGTGTAGTATAATGACTCTACCTTGCATATATAGGAAGGAATTTGTCTTTGTAAATTATCATTATTTCTTGAGCTTGTGTGGGAAGATTCTTGATCACTTCAAGTCATCATTATATGTATTGTAGTATTATTGAGCATTATCATTGTGTGTGGATTATAATCAACTCTTGGTCCCTACTTAAGTAGAAGCCTGAAGCCAGATTGCCTTAAACCATCAGACAGCGCGACCTATCTATGCCCGTGCATGCTGTCATCTAACTGCTATATGCAGTCGTCTCTCCCTCCTTTAATTTTCACACCCTGCTGCCTGCACAAACATTAATTGAGCTTTTCCTTTCTGCTTACAGGATTAACTGAAGTTGCAAGAGACAAATTAACTGGCGGGCAACCTTTTTTGGTCCGATCCAAATTAATTTGCTAGAAAGGAGACCCCTGGAGTTATATATCTGTAACTTACTCCATATGAATTCATATTTTGCTAGTTGGTTCACATATATAACTAATCATTCACTCTTATCTTTTGTCATAAAAACAACAACTCAAAGATAAATATATGCCATCTATTCTGAAAGGAAATCTGTCGGGTTAGGCTCTGCACTGTGTATTTGATTACATAAAGTTTATTGTCTAGCATTGTCTTTCTATGCAACTTAGTTTCTTGTGTACGTATGTTTCACAAATATATACATAGTCTAATAAAATAATATGATTATAATGCATGATTGTTAAATTTTAAACCAAGAGTGATACTAATTAATTTCATTTAACCTTGATTGTGCGTGAAATCTTTTGAGATAAAGTTATAACCTGATTTAATCGTTAAATTTGAAAACGATAATAGCAATCACAACAAAACATGGATATCACAGCCACTGATTATCACTTGATATATTTAATTTCACTCTTCTTTAGGAAAAACGAAATAAAAAGTTAAAAAAACAGAAAGGAATGATTGATATGGTAGCATGCTTCGGTAGATCATTATTTATTTCAGAAACTACCACTAGCATAATTAGCCTATCTCTCTTTAGATTGAATTGTTATACAACATGGAGTCGTTTGATTTGTAGAGAAAAGTGATTAATAGTCATTGGAAGATTTTGTGGATTTGTGATTCTTCTCGTATCGTATAGTTCATTGCACAGAGCACTAAATATATGATGTATGATATAAATATGTGTTTGGTTTAGAATTGGATAAATTTTGTTTTCAATAATACACTAGTGTACATATGTCATTCCTTTGTCATAGAGCGGAAAGGATAGACAGGATTCATCTGCTCAATTCTACCTTTCACAACCATTTCTTCCTTCATTACCAGGCACAACCTCCCAGAATTAGGAATAGCTTATTTTAGGTTAATATCAATAAATAAATAAAAATAGGTTCAAGAATCCCTATGTTCGAATAAAATGGAATCGAAATACTTTTTAAATTGATAACAAAAGTGTCATTTGCCTCTTGGCTCGGTAACAAAAATCGGTTGTGGAATAGCTTTTAGTTGGCTTTCTCCTTAAGAAGATTTTTAATGAACCTACTTTATTGATAGTTAGGATGTCACATATATAATTGTGTTTGCCTTTACTTAGATACTCTCCACTTATTAGAGTAAGACACCCTCTCAAAACTAGATCCACTCGTCCTCCAGTAATTAACAAGTAGTCCGGTGATTAGCCTATACTAGCTATTTGAAGCCTTCGTAGGACTTAATTGTGTTGGGATATACTATTAACCATGCTATTTAGATATAGTATTGTGTTTTATTTTTTATGAAATAATTGTTTGTTTAATTTATTCAATTCAATAAAGTACTATTTTAAATAGATTATTTATAACATGTGTGCCCTTTAGTTATGTAGGTGACAATTTAATGTTTGGAGTCTTAGCTCATGCACAGAAGATTAAATTGTCGGTTCTCATAATTAATAAACTATGTTCAGGATCAAAGATATTATTGGACAAAATATCTTGATGATTGTAGTACAAGATTAAAGTATAATTTGTCTTGATTATGGGAGTGGTTTTACTCCGACTTCTTGTGCTAGTATACTTAGTGTATATTGAACGCACCAAGTAGAGAAAAAGATGTTTTTGTACTGAATATATATAAAATATTTTCTCTAATTCATTAAATGAGCTTATACTCCTAATCTTGATATAATTATTATGATCAATGTGATTTATTTATTATTTTGATTTATCAAAAGGTGCAACTCTATTCAGAGTTAGTGTATACGAATAGCATTTGTGAAATAATAATTAGTTGATAGAATCCATGACTTGATTTTGAGTTTGATGTGCCCCTTTATGTAAGCTTATAAGTTTTCATGTGAAACCCAACGGTTAATTTTGCATCCGTCACATTAAATAGTTTAAGCAGAATTATAAAGGATTTAATTAGTTGATTAAATTAAATTGTCAGTGATTTAATATAATTAACTGGCATTTGTTATCTTAACATGGGGAATTAAAATAAGTGTTAGTGAATTTTCGAAATTCATATTAAGGAGCTCAATTGCAGTTTTTTAGTGGAATAAACTTCAATTAATTATAGTAGGAATTAATTCATCCAAAATTTCGAATTAATGCTATAATTGATAGCCTCGTATTATTTCTGTGGTCCCTGCTATACCTAGTGAAAACCTGGAGTGACTTGGGTAAAAAGTGACTTGGGAGAAAAATCATCCTTTAGAGTTAGAGTAGGATTCTACTTGCACAGCAGAATCCTACACGTTTTTGGAGCCCTCTTTTGGCTGAAAACGGGTCTACATAAGGAAGACATTTTTCACCCAATAACTCACTTTCAGAGTTGTATTATTTTTGCCCACTCAAAATAATTTCGTCCAAGGTCTTATTAGGACCATAACAGAAGACTGCATCCCTGGATTCTTGCTCTGTGGAGGACCTGTGCAACGTTTTCAAGAGGTTAGTGCTTCTAATCTCGTAATTATATTATTATCTAGTTTACATGTATGTGATGCTTGAATTGTATACTTGCTTCCGCTGCGCATGTTCTAACACATTGTTGGGTATATATCGAAGTAGAGATATGGATATCGACTCATTTGAGGTTAAGGGATAGATAATTGGATAAAATCTTACTTAATGAAGAAGGTCATTAAATCAAAATTCTTTTTCTTGGAAATGCAGGGTAAGGCTGCGTACGATAGACCCTTGTGGTCCGGCCCTTCCCCGAACCCTGCGCATAGCGGGAGCTTAGTGCACCAGCTGCCCTTTTTTTTTCTTGGAAATGAAACTGAATAAATTGTAACTGTAAGTTTTTGTGATTTTAAGAATCTAAAATTGTATTACACGAGACTTCTTCTCTCTTTCTCACCGCCATTACCGACCCACCCTCTGTCTCTCTCTCTCTCTCTCTTTGCCATTAACACAACCGCCCAGCACCACCGTCGGTGACCCAAGGTAAGGTTACCCATCCTTCATCTCTCCTCCCGTCTTCCTCCTTTCTTCCTCTTTCTCTCTCTCTCTTTCCCCCTCCTTCCCGTCTTTCTCTGTTTTCTTTCTCCACATCGACTGGTCGGAGTTCAGCCAGTGGCAGAGCCAGAATTTTCACCAAGGGTTGTCAAAATATTAAAAATAAAAAGATACAACGAAAAGTTTAGGGGAGATAACATATAATAAATATACATAAAATAGAAAAATTTATCTAACAATACAATATAATTTCCTGCGAAAGGGTGTAGATTGACACCCGTTGGTTGTATGTCGCTCCGCCATTGAGTTCAGCGCCGGAAATCATTGAATTTTGGCTCTTTTACCTTTCTATTTCTCTCCTCTTCGCCTCATGCGTTTGTGTGGGGAAACGCCGGCTGAGTCCGTCAAGACCAGTCAATTTTTTGGCGTAGATCCCGTCACACGTTAGTGCGTGAGATCCTGTCCAGGTGGTTTTCCTGCGCGTGCATGTCCTCCCAGTAATCGAAGCTCAAGAACGACCGCAGGTGTCTTGGATTGTCCCTTTCGGCCAGCTCATCGCGACCCATCCTCGCCGGTCAGATTTTTGTCAACTTCAGGGGCTGCCATCTAGGTTCTATCGTTCCTCTCTTGTCTTGTTATTTTGATTTTGATATTCTAGCTTAATTGTATCCTCTATTGTTATGTTATTTTGATACTTTGATATTCTAGATTAATTGTCTCTTTTATTTTGTTCTTGAATCTTACTTAAGTGTTGGCCCTAGCAGTGCCAAATTAGTTGCACTAGCGATAGCGTTGCCTACCTGTTTCATATTTCTCTCTACGTGTTTATAGTTTTCTTTTGAATCTTTATTTAGTATATCCCATAGTAGCTTTCACTACTAAAAAACAATAAATTTGGGACAGTCAAATCAGCCGCAAATCGGTCGAAAATCGTGTTTTTTCGACCGATTAACGATTGAAAAGTGTCGGTCAGAAAATATATGGTCGCAATATATTTGTGACAGAATCAGTCGAAAATTTGCGACGGATTCCGTCGCAAACTGAAAAATACGGGGACATTTGATATTAAGTCGTTTGCGACCCAATCAGTCGCAAATTTAGCAACTGATTCAGTCGCTGACCAAAGTTAAAAAAAATAAATATAAATAAGAAGTTTCGATTGATTCCGTGGGAAAATTAAAAAAAATTAATTCGTAATTAATTATTCCGACTAAAATAGTTGTAAATATTGATTATTAATTAATTAAATAGATCAAAAATTCTCCATTTGCGACTGAATCAGTCACTATCTTAATTAAGTTTTTCAATTTGCAACTGAATCAATCGCAAATCTGGGTAATTCCTGGTGAAATTTGCGGTTGATTCAGTCCAAATCTGGGCATTTTAAAGTAGAATCTTGCTATATTTCTAATTACACCACCTGCCAAATAAAACAGCCAATCAAACACCCAACAATTAATCAAAAACCTAATACAACAATTTAAAAAAATAATATAACAATCTAAAATCAAATATTTACTACAAAATGAACAGTAATATTTATAACAGTTCAACCAAATAACCAACTATCAAACAACATAAATTAAACATGTCTCTAACTTCAACTGTAAAACATTCAAATAGCCTATTCAGAATCAGTCTCCTCTTCAGACTTAGACTCAGACTCCATTGCAGCTCATTTCTTACTTTTTTTTGAAACAATTTTTGGATCAAAGCCTGAGTTTCTTGAAATTCTTGCGACATTTGATCCACTTTTTGACGCATAGCTTCCATGTCTTCTTGGAAAACCGATGCCCCAGGACGACTGGAGGATGGTAGTACTCCAATCCCGTTGACTCGAGCTTTATTTATTATTTTCACGAGAAATAAAGATAAGAAAGTAAAAAGAAGTAAGAAAACAAACAAGAAACTTTTAAATTAACACCAAAACAGATAATTGTATAATATTTATACCTTTATTCACGCCACCAGCCTATTGTGTCCATCTGTGTAATGAATATAAAATATTTACATGTAAAAAAATTAAACATAACAAATATAAACATAAAGTATACCTAATAAATATAACAATATAAACATAAAAAAAAATGAAGATATCATTAAATTAATCCAATTTATTTCAAATTAGCATATAATGCGCTCTAATACTTAATTGATTGCATTTTCTTTATTTCTTTCCAATAATAAATGATATAATTAACACATAAATAGGGCATGGAGAATTTCCAAACGAAAAACCGAAACAGAGAAGTATTAACACTTAAGTTGTTTCTTAACTAACCAAACTTGAATGTATAAAAATTCTAACTCTTTAAAATATTTTTCAACTTTAACTATTATAATTTAAATTATAAGAAGTATTAACACTTAAGTTTTTTCTTTAGTTGTTTTTTTATATAAACAAGAATTCCATACTTATTGAACATATTCAAATTATTCCAAATTTTTTCTTGATTTACTATTGGATACATACAAGTATATAAGCCATTTTCACAAGACCATCTAACTAAAAAGAAAAAAATAGCCAATTAATCTAAACAAGTAAATTTTTAACAAGTCACTATATACATATTATATTGCAAAAAATTATTGCTAATTTATCTATACTATATTACAAATTATATAGCTAATTTATACATACTATTTTGTTAAATTAATGCAAAACAAATACCTGGAAAACGACCAACGGATGTGCTGCCAAACTAACACCGGAGGGGAGATAAGCCGCTGGATTCCTGCACCAAAAACGAGTTAAACAACTTGGGAACAAAAAAGTTGGGGGAGTGGGGCGGCTGGATGGGGAAATGGAGAGGGCGAGGGAGAGGGAGAGTGAGTGGAGTGTGGGAGAGAAGGGAATCATACCTTATATGGTTATATTAGAGGGAAAAATCAAGAAATATAGCGGGTGGGGGCAGAAAAGGAGAGGGGATAAGAGGGGAACAAACTAGAGAAGAAAGAAGAAAGAAGAAAAAACGGTCTAGGGCTATAATTAAAAATAAATTTGCGACCGAATCGGTCGCGAATTTGAAATTTGAATTTTCAAATTGCGACTGATTCGGTCGCAAATCCCGTTAACCTGTCAGACCTCGTTTGTATTGCACATTCCGACCAAATCGGTCGAAACATTTAATTTAATTCTTTTTTAATTTTAATTTTTGCGACTGATTCAGTCGCAAACCATAAAAAATATTTCGCGGTATTTTCTACGTAATTGAGTGATTGAATCAGTCGCAATTTTGAGCCAAAAATTTAAAAAAAATTAACATGTATTTTTAATAAAGTTTCCGACCGAATCAGTCAAAAATTGCGATCGATTTAATTCAGTCGCAAATTTGCTATTTTTTAGTAGTGTAATTTGCCCATTTTCTCGAAAAAAGGAAGATTAATATAGCTTGTATACATGAGACTCGATGGGTAGGAGATAAGGCGTGGATGTGGGCAAGTTCAAAATATGGTATTCTGGGAGGGAGGGGGCGGGAACGGGGTAGGTATCTTGGTTGATGAGGACCTCCATGATCTAGTGGTGGAGGTTAGGGGGATGAACGACTGGCTGATGACTATTGAGATAGTTGTTAAAGGATTTATTTTGAACATAACCAGTGCGTACGCACCCCAAGCAAGCTTGGACGAGGAAGTCAAAAGGTGTTTCTAGGAGGATTTGGATGAGATGGTATGTGGTATCCCGCATACTGATAAGCTTTTCATAGAAGGAGATTTCAACGACCACATTGGAGCGACGACTGGGGGTATGATGAGGTGCATGATGGCTTTGGTTTGGAAGATAGGAACAAGGGAGGAACTTCTCTTTTGGACTTTGCTAGAGCGTTTGATTTGGTGATAGCAAACTCGAGTTTCCCAAAGAAGGTGGAACACTTTGTCACCTTCCGGAGTTAGGTAGCATGACTCAGATTGGTTATTTCTCTGCAGGAAATCCTATAGAGGTCTTTGCACGGATTGCAAAGTCATCCAGAGTGAGAACCTCATGACCCTTCATAGGATCTTGGTCATGGACCTTGAGATCACAAGGAAGAAGAGGAAGAGGGTGGTGTATAGCCAACCTAGGATCAAGTGGGGAGCCTTGACGGAAGCCAAAATATTGCTTTTGGGGGGTTAAGTTGATAACTAGGGGGGTTTGGAGGAGTAGCTGGGACGCAAGCACTATGTGGACCACGACTATGCAGTGCATTAGGGAAGCCGCTAGAGAGGTATTAGGAATCTCAAACGGTTACTCTGGTAGACACAGAGGAGACTAGTGGTGGAAGGGAGAGGTGCAAGGAAAAGTAGAGACCAAGAAAGCGACGTATCTGAATCTAGTAGAAAGTGTAGGCGGGGAGGAGAGAAGGGTGAATAAGGAGAAATATAAGTTAGCTAAGAAGGAGGCGAAATTAGCAGTTACGGCGGCCAAGACTGCAGCTTTTGGTAGTTTGTATGAAGAACTCGAGGGCCGAGGTGGGGATAAGAGGTTGTTCAGGTTAGACAAGGTGAGAGAAAAGAAGGCTCGTGACTTGGATCAAGTGAAATGCATCAAGGACGAAGAAGGTAGAGTTTTGTTGGATGAGGGGCTTATCTGTTGGACATGGCACACCTACTTCCATAGTCTCTTGAACAAGGAGGGGGGCAGGAACATTGTACTGGGTGATTTAGAACTCTCCAGGAGTCGTTGCGACTTTAGGTATTGTAGACGGATTAGAGTTGAGGAGGTTGAGGGGTCTATGTATAAGATGAGTAGGGGCAAAGCGACCGGGCCGGATGAAATCCCGGTGGAGTTTTGAAAGAGCGCGGGCAAGGTGGGCTTGGAGTGACTCACTAGGTTATTTAATGTCATTTTTAGAACGAAGAAGATACCCGAGGAGTGAAGGTGGAGCATGATGGTTCCTTTATACAAGAACAAGGGTGATATCCAAAATTCCAATAACTATCGGGGTACCAAGCACTCAACTACAGAGGCCATTCACCTTGTTAGGAGTTTGATGGAGCAGTATAGGGAGAGGAAGAATGACTTACATATGATGTTCATCGACTTAGAAAAGGGTGTACGATAAAGTCTCGAGGGAAGTTTTGTGGAGATGTTTGGAGGCTAGAGGTGTACTTGTTCCCTACATTAGGGTGATTAAGGACATATATAATGGAGAAAAGACCCGAATGAGGACGGTAGGAGAGAACTCAGATCATTATCCGGTCATGATGGGTTTGCACCAGGGGTCGACACTTAGCCCTTTTTTTGTTTGCCCTGGAGATAGACGTTCTGACGCGCCACATCTAAGGGGAGGTGCCGTGGTGCACGTTATTTGCAGATAATATTGTATTGATTGACGAGATGCGAGGCGGTGTGAATGCGAGGTTAGAGGTTGGAGGCAGGCCCTGGAGTCTAAAGGTTTCAAGCTGAGTAGGACCAAGACAGAATACTTGGAGTGTAAGTTCAGTGGTGAGACTCAGGGAGGGGAAGGGGAGGTGAGACTGGACTCACAAATCATTCCTACGAGAGGAAGTTTTGAGTACCTTGGGTCTATTATTCAGGGGAATGGGGAGATTGATGGATATGTCACACATAGTATTGGGGCAGTATGGATGAAACAAATACTCGCTTATGGTATTTTGTGTGACAAGAAGGTGCCACCAAAACTTAAAGGTAAGTTCTACAGAATGGTGGTTAGGCCGACTATGTTGTATGGGCTGAGTGTTGGCCTGTCAAGATCGCCCATGTCCAGAAGATGAAGATAGCAGAGATGAGGATGTTGAGATGGATATGCGGGTGCACCGGGTTAGATAGGATTAGGAATGAAGTTATTCGCGACAAGGTAGGTGTGGCCCCTATTGAGGACAAGATGCGTGAAGCGAGGCTTAGGTGGTTTAGACATGTGAGAAGGGGGAGCACAGATGTCCCAGTGAGGAGGTGTGAACGGTTGACATTGGAGGGCCTACGGAGAGGTAAAGGTAGGCCGAAGAAGAAGTGGGAAGAGGTGATTAGGCAAGACATGGCGCAGCTTCAGCTGACCGAGGACATGACCCTTGATAGGAAGACGTGGAGGTTGAGGAAGGGTAGGTGGTCTAGATTGTTCATCCTGGTAGTATTAGTACGCACTCTTGCATTCTATTGGTAGTAGGTTTTTTTGACTACCCGTCGTTTTCTTTCATATTGATCATCTTATTATCGTATTGTTTTTACGCTGCTTTAACATGGCTTTTTGGTATTGTCCCTCCTTGTCTATCTCTTAATTAGTATGGTGCTTATGTTTTCCTGAGCCGAGGGTCAATTGGAAACAGCCTCTCTACCTTCACAAATTAAAGGTAGGGGGATAAGTTCTGCGTACATACTACCCTCCTCAGACCCCACGATGTGGAATAATACTGGTATTTTGTTACTGTGAAATTGTATTACACCAAAGCGATGAATTAGCTTTAATCATCATTACGAATGTATTTTTTAGTAAAAAACTTTAAATTAAAAATAACGAGAAATCATTTTAGGTATTGTTAACCCGTGTTAAAGACCTATATATTTTAATTTATGCCAGCAATGAAGAGGGTGACTGAATATTTCATTAATAATGCAGAGTTCTATGTAGAAATTATTTTTTCTTACGCAAAGAACAAAACAAGTCCTAAGAATATATTTTTTAGGCCTACATCTATATCAATGTCCATGTCTGCGGTATGTATTTATGTATACGGTCAAAATTGGGCCTACCCGATTTTGCTATTTGATCGAAACAAAAGAGTTGCATCAGGGGTAATCTCGTAATGAGTTAGGCCCGTGCTCGAAGACGAGGCATCGAGTCCAAAGATCGAAGTGTTCGTCGAGACCGAGGCCAAAATCAATCGAGACTAAGTATGACCGACTTCGAGTGAAATGCAATAACGGAAAGGCGAAATGTCCGTAACTGGTCGGAGATCACGGCGGAAATCTCGGAGCAGATCAAATAAAGGGCGGTTATTTGTATCAATCATGAGATTTACTTTCGTAATTAGAATTGTACCACAATTAGGATTCCTCTAGTATATAAAGAGGGGTCCCCGTCATTTGTAGACACCTTACATTCATACTGATCAAAGAAATATAATATTTCTCTATTGATCATCAATTTATTGTTCTTTAACTGTTCTTGCTTAACTATTCTCGAGGGTTCATGAGCTCGAGGACGCTGTCCAAACATCGGTTTGTTTCATATTCTTGTCAATTCCATCACTTATCTCTAAATTAATCAATTGGTATTAAGTGAAATCATGCCTCCCTAAAACCACATTACAAGTTTAATTATTACTCAATTTTTAGGGTAAACAGTTTGGCGCCCACCGTAAGGCTAAGGATAATAGTGAATGCTTAATATTTTAGCCTTCATAACACACATTGCTTTTACGCTTGTTCTTGTGAGTATTTTTTATTTCAGGAATCAATATGTCAAACTCCCAAGCAATACCTACTCACACTGACACCGGCCTTGGTCTTCATGGCAAAAACGAGCACGTAGTCACCCCGGGAAACGGAGTACCTCCAATCAATCCCGACGCACCACAGGTCGTGGATCCAGTTGATGTCAATTATCATGTCACCATTCATGGAGATTTAGGCGGTGACCTTGAAAATAGCGTCCGTAGAGACGCCCGAGCAGCCGATTGGAACACACAAAATGGTGAAGAAGGCGGAATTAGCCATCGAATGATATCTGATATGCTACAAACTTAGCAGGCCGCGATAACGCAACTTCAAAATCAGAATCGAGCCCCAAGCATAATCGAACTCGATACATCACAGGAAGTTGCTCATAGGGTCGGACCCGTGTAGGAAAAATTGAATGATAGTCGATCGGGAACTGATCCCGCCATCATGAAAATGCTCGAGAAACTCACTATAGAATTTGGTGAATAGAAAATCGAGGTTAATGACCAAAAGGTGGAAACGTACAACTCACGAGTCGACCAAATACCGGGGGCACCCCCGATCCTAAAGGGTGGATTCGAAGAAGTTCGTGTAGAAGCCTTTTCCTCAAAGGCGGCTCCGAAGCCCATTCCTAAGAAGTTCCGTATGCCAGACATCCCCAAGTACAACGGGACCACCGGTCCTAATGAACTCATCACTTTGTACACATTTGGAATAAAGGGAAATGACTTAGAGGGTGATGAGATTGAATCCGTTTTGTTGGAAAAATTTGGAGAAACTTTATCAAAGGGGGCAATGATATGGTACCACAATTTGCCGCCAAATTCCATCGATTCTTTCGCCATGCTCACTGATTTGTTCACACACGTCGGAGCAATAAAGGTCGCGACCAGGAGTCGGACCTCTTCAAAGTGAGACAAAAGGACAATGAAATGCTAAGGGAGTTTGTATCTCGATTTCAGATGGAGCGCAGACCTACCCCCGATTACCAATGATTGGGTTGTCCAAGACTTTACTCAGGGTTTGAAAGAGCGGAGTTCGATAGCATCACGTTAACTAAAGCAGAATTTGATTGAGTATCCAGCAGTGACCTGGGCCGATGTGCATAATCGGTACCAATCGAAGATCAGGGTTGAGGATGACCAGTTGTGAGCTCCATCCGATTCCGTTTACCTAAACAGGTCCGAAGGTAGGATTCAAAGGGACATCGATAGAGAGCCCCGATCAAACAGAGATCGATACCAACCATATAGCGCAGATCGAAGGATTAACGGATCGGGACATAATCCCATTCGAAATGATCGAAGGAAAGATCGAGGTCAAAATTCTCGAGGGCTCATGAGTAAGAATGGCTTCGATAAACACGTCGAGCCTAAGGAAACACCACGGTTATCGGAATTCAACTTCAGCGTCACTGCTTCAGGTATTGTGTCGGCCACTGGACGAATCAAGGATACTAGATAGCCCTGACCCCTGCAAACCGATCTAGCTCAAAGGAATCCCAATCAAATGTGCAAGTACCATGGAACCCATGTTCACAGGACCGAGGACTGCAGATAATTAAGGGAGGAGGTAGCTCGTTTATTCAACAAAGGTCATCTTCGAGAGTTCTTGAGTGACCGAGCAAAAAATCACTTCAGAGACAGGGATGCAAACAGGAAAAACGAACAAGAAGAACCGCATCACATGATTCATATAATCATCGGTGAGGTAGATATCCCTCAGGGTCCGACATTTAAACGTACCAAAGTTACAATCACAAGGGTGAAGCGTACCCGGGACTACTTACCAGAAGATACCTTATCCTTCAATGACGAGGATGCAGAAGAGATCGAACAACCTTACAACGACGCACTGGTAATATCTATCCTTATGAATAAAATCCAAGTTAAACGTGTGTTGGTTGATCCAGGTAGCTCGGCGAACATTACTCGATCGAGGGTGGTGGAGCAACTCGGCCTTCAGGATCAAATCGTGCCTGCAGCTCGAGTGCTCAACGGTTTCAACATGGCGAGTGAAACCACCAAAGGGGAAATCATGTCGCTAGTGAATGTGGCCGGAACTATCCAGGAAATGAAGTTCCACGTGATTGAAGGAGATATGAGGTACAATGCGCTGCTCGGAAGGCCTTTGATCTATAATATGAGGGCAGTACCTTCAGCGCTTCATCAAGTCCTAAAATTCCCAACAACGGAGGGAGTAAAATCGGTGTACGGCGAACAACCAGCAGCCAAGGAGATGTTTTCAATTGATTAAGTAATACCAGTATCGGCACTGACATCAACCAAGGGATCAGAATCAAAGGAAAAGTAGGGAGTCAAATAGCAACCACAGTCGCCGGCTTCGACCAGATCAGGACAGCAGGAGACTCTCGAGGTTGATGATTGTATAATA